ACTACCTACCAATTGTCGATACATTGTTGCATCTTCCAAATCTTTTCCTTCATGTGCACACATTTTGATATTTGGTTCCATTGGCGTTGAAGTTGACTTACATTCGAGCATTCCAAACCTCTTCAGCAAATCTTTAGCATATTTCTGTTGACATAGAAATATTCCTTCGTGTGTACGATCAACCTCTAGACCAAGGAAGTGCTTAAGTTGTCCAAGTTCCTTCATCTGGAAACGAACTGATAAATTCTCCTTCGTCTGAAGAATTTCTGCCTCATCATCACCGGTTATGATTAAGTCATCCACGTACACTAGCACGATAGCTAGCTTACCTTCATTGGCTTTGACAAACAAGCTAGAATCTGCAGGTGTTACTGAATAACCACTTTTCGTTAGAAATTCAGCAATCTTACCATACCACGCCCTAGGTGCTTGTTTTAATCCGTAGAGTGCTTTTCGCAGCTTACACACATATTCAGGATGATCTTGACTCTGAAAACCCATTGGTTGGGTCATGTAGATCTCTCGATCTAGCTCTCCATGAAGAAAAGCATTCTTTACATCCATCTGCCACAAGTTCCAGTCTTTGTTGGCTGCAAGTGCAAGTAAGACTCGTACGGTTGTAAGTTTCGCCACTGGACTAAATGTTTCATCATAGTCTAATCCATACTGTTGAGAGAAACCACGAGCTACCAATCGCGCTTTGTACCTCTCGATTGACCCATCTGGACGGCGCTTTATCTTGTAAACCCATTTGCAAGATATGGGTTTCACATCTTTTATCTTTGGTACAATATCCCAAGTTTGATTTTGCTGAAGTGCATCGATCTCTTCTTTCATAGCTGTCATCCACTCAGAACTCTTCGATGCTTCTTCGAACGTCTCAGGCTCCGTTGCTTCTTCAATTATGGCTGCATTGGCATATTTGGGATTTGGCCTTCGTATTCTTGTTGACCTTCGAAGTTGAGATTGTGGAATTGATTCTTCTGTTTCACTAGGCCCACCTTCTTCGTTTGGTTGTTGATACACGCCAGTTTGCCACGGATTCTGAGTCACTCTTTGTTCGACATCATCGCCATTTGGATCTTCTGATTCATCTGAACTTGTTTGAAGTTGAACATCATGCTCCCCCATCTTTTGTTGTAGTTTGTCTCCAAATTCTCTCGAATCTGGCAACACCTCCTTCTCTAAGGACCACCAAGAAGATGCTTCATCAAATACCACATTTCGTGACGTGTAGCATCTTCCACTAATTGGATCACAACATTTCCACCCCTTTCTATGGCTGTCATATCCCACAAAGATACATCTAACAGCTTTCTTGTCAAATTTGCTCCGTAAATGATCAGGAACAAACACATAACATACACAGCCAAATACTCGAAAGTAGCTAACTGTAGGTTTTATGTTCCATAGTTTCTCAAAGGGTGAAACAAATCCTAACCTTGGTTGAGGAAGTCTATTGATCACAAAGGCTGCAGTCCTCATTGCTTCAGCCCAAAACCTTCCAGATACGTTCTTTGCATGTAGCATACTTCGACAAATTTCTGCAAGATGCCGGTTTTTCTTTCCGCTACACCATTCTGTTGTGGTGTGTTGGCACAAGTGTACTGATGACGTATTCGGCATTCCCTTAGGTATTGAGAGAACTCGTTTGATCTATATTCTCCTCCGTTGTCTGTGCGCAAGCAGCATATCTTCTTTCCCACTTCTCCTTCAGCTGAGTCTCTGAACTCTTTAAACTTTGAGAAAGTATCAGATTTTTCTTTCATAAAGAAAACCCACACATACCTGGAGAAGTCATCAATGAATGTTACCATGTACCGCATACCGCTAATTGACTGTTGCTTAACCGGTCCGAACACATCAGAGTGAACCAACTCCAGAGGTTCTTTTGCTTTAAACTTCGACTCGTCATATGGTAATTGGTGTGCTTTACCATACTGGCATCCCGCACAGACCGTGTCTGTTCTCACGTCTAGTTGAGGAAGCCCCTTAAGCATCGACTTTTTCACCATCACACTTAGCTTGGAATAGCTAACGTGACCTAACCGCATGTGCCATAGATCTGATGTCTCATTTTTCCTTGTCCTGTCTACATATGCAGACTCTGCTGACATCACGTAAATTGATTCCAAACGTCGTCCCTCCATTGTTGGTGTTTCTGTGATTTTGACGTCACGATAAACCTTCACGTCTTGGGGACCAAATAAGACATAATGGCCTGATGATGTTAGTTGAGCCACAGATAGCAAATTTTTCTTCATTCCTGGGACATGGTAAACATCTTGGAGTTGCACCTGGTTAGTATTATATCGAGGAGTAACTATTGTCTTACCGATGTGAGTTATCGGTAACCTTGAGTTGTCAGCTGTCACCACCACACGACCTCCATTGTACTCAGACAGGTTTTGCAACTTCTGTTTGTCACCCGTCATATGATTTGAGCAGCCAGAATCTACGATCCAATCATTCTTGTAGTCAATCCGTTCTGGTGTTGTTACTGTGAGAGCTAATTCTTCTTCCTCCGTAGCAAATAACGCTTCAGCATCCCAACCATCTTCACTATTCTCCTTCGAACAAGAAGTAGCAGTATTACTTTCAACAGGCTTTTTCTTGGTCCAACAGTCTTTTGCCATGTGGCCCATCTTCCCACAATTGTAACACTTGCCATCGAACTTTCTACTATTACCGCGATTCTTGGAAGCTCCCCCTGAATGAGGGCCTCCCTTTCCTTGGTAATTTTTCACCTTGTCACCATCCTTTTTAGATCCATTGCCAGTATACCGCTGAAAAGTGCCTCTGCTTTGCTGGTGTAGAGCGCTTCCTCTTCACCCTTCAACGAGACTCCTCCCATTTGCTTGGCCATGGCTTCTTGACCTGCAAGCAAATTTTCGAACTCAACAAGCGATGGTTGTGTCGGCCATCCCTGTACAGCGGCAACAAACCCTCGATATTCGGGTCTCAAACCATGGACAATTATTCTTTTATCCTGGCTTCCCCAATAGCAGCTGTCGGATCTAATTCTGAAATTTCACGGCATATCGACTTCACCTTGTGAAAGTATTGGGCAACCGCCATGTCGCGTTGCGCCATTGATAGAAGTTCATTCTCGAGAAGTTGCAATTTTGTATCGTTCCTCTTCGAAAAGAGTGTAACAAAAGTGTCCCATGCTTCCTTTGGTGTTTTAGCATCCCGGATGTGCTCCAACATTTCTTCTTCAATTGTGGTCTTTAAAGCAAACATTGCTTTGCCTGCTTTAATTTTCCACTTTCGCAAGATTCCATTGGCATCTTCTGTCGCCGGTTGTGTAACTTCACCACCACCGACAACCTCCCAAAGGTCTTGACCTTGTAAGTATGACTCCATACATGTTGCCCACGTGTTGTAGTTTTTGTTGTTGAGCTTCTTGATTCCTCCAACTACTTGAAGATCACCCATCTTAACGGCAAGGCTTTGACTACACCGAACAAGCTTGAGTAACAAACGTGCAGAGTACTAAATTACTCTAAACACAAAGAAGCTCCACAAGGTTTGTAATAACCTCGACAATAACTCAAGAAATATTTTCTGATGTGGAAGATCAGTTAAAAACTGCAGCCACAGAGCATACTCAGAATTTCAAGAGATCTTAAAAAACGTGGCTCGGATACCAATTGTTGAATCAAAATAGAGTAAAAACTCTAATTGATAAAAAAAAAAAAACTCTCTTTAGAATAATCTCACAAAATTGCAAAAGGGAAGAACTCTTAAGAAAGCTTTCAAATGCTTATAATTAAGCTTTGATTGATGGATGATAAAACTCAAATACAAGTAGGGTATTTATAGGTTACAAGAAACAATCTAAACCACTCATTAAAATAAACACTAAATAATCTAAACCATTGAAATTAAAACATGAGAAAAATACTTAATTTTCACCTAACTAAATTGATGTAAGCAATGACATCAAAACTAAATTGATGTAAGCAATGACATCAAATTAATTTAGGTGTGAACATATAGGCTAATATTGAATTTTCAACAATAATTGAAGTGGAGAAGTGGATGGTGGTGATCGAAGTGAATTAGATGGTGGTGGATGTAATGGAGATGATAACTGAAATGGAGAAGTGGATGATAATGGTTGAAGTGAAGTAGATAGTGGTAGATGTAATGGAGATGATAATTGAAGTGGAGAAGTGGATGATGGTGCTTGAAGTGAAGCATATGGTGGTGAATATAATGGAGATGATAATTGAAGTGGAGAAGTGGATGGTGGTGATTGAAGTGAATTAGATGGTGGTGGATGTAATGGAGATGATAACTGAAATGGAGAAGTGGATGATAATGGTTGAAGTGAAGTAGATGGTGGTGGATGTAATGGAGATGATAATTGAAGTGGAGGAGATGCCAAAGTTCCATTAACTATTGACTGACCATTATTAATAGGAGCAGGAGAGAGAAACACAGGTGTTGATCAAACTTTAACCGAGTCAATCTCGAATAGCTTGCGATCTATCTCATCTACCAAGCTAGTGGTGGTCTACGTTAGCTGAAACATTCAGAAGGTGATATTTTAAAAGTTGCAAGTATCATTTAGCCATTGTGATGTGTTGTTAGAATAGAGATCAAAATAGAGTGAAATTTGATTATAAATGTAGATCAAATGATTGAAAGGGGAGGTTACCTGAAATTGAGTGCAAATGTCATGTTATCCGACTCTGGGGACTCTCATGTTCAGTTCTTTAAATTTAATGTTAAAACAGGAGGGGGAAAATTAAGAATCTGAGAGGTATATTGGATAAATAAGAGATTTCCTTGGAATATATCTGTAGTTACAGTTTAAAGCTAGTTGTTGAATAAACAAAAGATGTCCCTGCTTTCTTTGCTAAGCAATTTTGTTTCTTCCAAAACTCGACCTACATATGTATCAACTGTTTTGTTTTACACAACCATCCAGTATTCCAATATGCTATATTTCAAGCTCTCTTGGTCTCTTCTGTGGGGTTTCGAAATTACAATTTTCTTCAGAACCTTGTTCTAGTCAAATTGTGTCCATAACATTTCAAGCTACCTCACACACTGGTAGGACTCGGGGAACCATCTTGAAAACACATGGTGTTTCAGCTTTAGCAGAAAAGCAAAGGCGCCATAGCATGGGAAATGCATCAATGCTACCAAAAAGTACCTTCAAATCCCAATTCAGAGATTAGGAGTAGATGTATGTGTGTAGATGATACCATAAGAAATGGTTTCTTATACATACCATAAGGGAGCATACGATGATGACAAATCAAGAAATGGATACGGCCACCTGTTTATAGCATTCAAAGCAACATACATTGATCAAACGATTCCACTAGAGAAAGATGAGGGGGGTGGGGGACTGGGTTTACCAGATATTCACACAAGCATGAACGAGCCATTGGAATATAACATATATCACAGTCCATAGGAAGAAGTAGGCAATCCGGAAACAGGGGAAGCGCTGAACGATACAAAAAAGCAAAATTTATCAAGATTTATAAACAATTACTGAATGTGATTAGGCAAACTTACCAAGCAGTTTAAAGCAGTATCACCAAGCAGGAAAACAGCATTGATGGTATGCATATTAATAGCAAGCTGCCACCAAAAGATTCAATAAGAAACTGACAACATATCGCGGGGGGGTTTCCTTTTCTTCTAATGAACGAATGAATGGTGGTACTTACAACACTGAGATTGTAATCTTTAATGGCAAGGAAGGGCACAATTATGAACCAAAAAACACAATCCGTCAGCAAAACAGCACCTGCATTCATCTGATTCACAAGCAAAAACACTGTCACCATCTCTAGGAAGCAAACTGGCCAATGGGTAGTAGTCGAAATAATTGAAGGGTTTATGTCTTGTGTGCACCTGGAAAATTATTTGAAAGACATAACCCCAAGTGCCTGCACGTTGGCGAACAAGGTGTCCTTCAGGAGGCTCGGGGCTAATGATTTTTCCTGCATTGATAGATGTTTCTCCAGATGCAGCACCGGCATGGTTCCCTTGCTCTGCATCTAACTCTACATTGTCGACCTTGTCACCGCTAACCCTTTTGTGGTATTGGTAACATCCACGTATGGAGAGCAGCGATCCCAGCTACAAATGAAATACGTTACAAATAAGCCTATAACAGATCAAAGGGCTACTGTGAAGAAACATGATTATACAAACATACCCCAAAATAAATGGTGATCAGTGTGAAAGTCCACCTGCACCCAACATGGAAATACCATAAAGACTCAGAATTCAGAAACTGATTGAGTCCATAGAAGTTCAATCCTCAAGTTTATCCGTGCAAGCAACTCTAAAAGACTATTTCTGTAGGGAAATCATGTTATGTCTGGTTCCACAAACGTAGATAAATCAAATTTTGCACCCAAGGAAAAGGAGAGCTTACTGAGTATAATAGTAGAAAATGCTGCCTCCATCTACAAAAGCGGTGACTATTAGCAATATCAAAAGCACGAAGAAAGCAACAAGTCTGAAAGCCATCAACCATGCAGGGTGAATCCCTTTTAAACATGGCCTCCAGGTCTCATCTTCATGAAGAGATCCCTCCGTGTCTTGTTGAGTTTCTTCACCATCCTGATTCGGTTTACGGAGACCTTCACATTTCCATATCATAATCAAGGAAACAATTGCTGTAAACAAGACCCAAAGCGCACAGAGCAAGACCCTCCAGTTGAACCAGTATCCTGGGGTGGTGGTATTAGCAGTCATTGCCGGTTGCCAAGAATCTCCTGCTCCTGTTAAAGAACTCACGGTAAACCACAGCTGATTGATTCTCTGTTTTGTTGTTTGGGTACTAAATAAATAAATACTTCCTCTGTATATCGCCAATGAATGAATGAACTGGAAAGATGGTTTGTTGTGTTCAAATTTTTTTATGGACAGAGAAAGAAGATGAAGAGATTTGATTTTTGGAAAACAGAAAGGAAGGATGATTAAAGTATGGACCTGAATAAAATGGGAAAACTTGAAATGAATCTAAAACAAGTCATGAAAAAATTGTGATTAGTTAGTTTCTTGAAGGAAGCAGTATACTTAAATTGAATGCATGAAAGAAACTCAGAGAAAAAAAACATAAAACTTTTATGAGATAAGAGCTTCAAAGAATGATGTTTAACATAATAACAAATCAAAAGAAAGATAAAGAATGAAATAACGCAGGAATAGCTGAAATGACATGACGAGCCACATGTAAGACAAGTCTAAGAAGAAGACCAAATGCAGACACAAAGAAGAAAAAAAACCCAAGTTTGAATTTGACCTCATAAACTAATGCATACAACAGGCTTTGGAGTAAGATTCCAAACTTTAGAAATGTTTTAGCAGAGAAAGATAAATTAATATTTATATAAGCAAAAAGAAAGCAGAAGCTACACTCTAAGCAAAGAGAAAGTTGAAACTTACAAGGGAAAGCAAGTAAATGTGGAGGGTGTGTGTTGTAAGAGGAGATGCTTTGCTTATTTGCTTAGAGAGAGAGAGAGAGAGAGAGAGAGAGAAGAATTAAAATTGAGGGAAAGGGGATAAAGGATGCTGTGCTGTGAGGGCAAGCTTCTGTTTTCTTGCTTTTAGTTTATAAAGAAAATTCTTGGGAAATTCACTCTTTTACAGTTTTTCATGTGTACGTGTATCTCCATGCAATGCAAATATTAAATTCTCAGATAGATATCCAAGTTTTTTGTCACCTTTATTTATTTATTTTTTACTTGGATTTAGGGTCTGTCTTTTTAATACCATTTTATTAGAAATTTAGGAGATAGAGAGATACGATATGAAGAGTCACCATTTTATTTGGATATTTGTGTTTGATGCATTGTGGAAATTGTGTGTTGTGATTTCTGAACGAAAACACTGTTCAAAGGGAAGGGATCAATAAAAAGCAAATCAAAGGGATAGGGTGATTGTACGATAAAGCGTTGAGGCACCATGCAATAGTCATGAACATTACTTTCGACTATTCTTTCACTATTTTCCATTTTAATTTTTTTGGGGTATCATTTATGTTTGATATTTGTGGATACGTCTTTCAATAATATGTTTTTAAAGTTTAAAATAAATATAATTAATGTACTTTATTACCTTATCTAATTTCTTTTAATGAAAAACATATTTGATATTAGTAATAATTTTAATATTCACACGAGCCATCTTCAATATATAGTTAATTAGCCTCTCTATAAAATTAAAAAGAATAAAAAGTTAATGGAAATAATAATTTGGCAATGAGAATGGTATGATGATATTAAGATTTGTTTAGTTTATTAGTTAAAGCATAAAAAAGTCAGTTGATGGTCATAGTAAGGAGCCACAGGGTCCCAATTTTGGTGGCCTACAAACTCTGAAACAAAACTTGTTGTAAGTCGTGTTTTTTCAGATGGGGAAGTTCACAGATATACGGGACACTTTTCATGCATGTATTGGTTTAATTGCGACCAGAGAAACTTGTTCAGTAAGTTTGGAGCAGTGTGGTCCTACTTTGTGAAATCCGGGGAATTAATTATTATACTGAAAACTTTAATAACTTTAGAAGAGAATATCTACAAGACAGGAAAGGGGAGAGATAATTTCTTTATGTTTTGCCTTCGATCATTTGGGTTAGAATGGAATAATGTGAAAATTGGGGTTATTTGGTAAAAATATAAAACGTGCTGTCCAAGCGAATTGAGCACACACCAATTTAACTTGACTAAAATCCCGGAATCGTGTTCCATTTCCTTCCCAAACCAACATAATACAAGATTAGTCGTGGATTGATTTAGTCCGCGCAAATACAAAAAAGGAGGATGAAGCTTTTGATTTTACAATTTTGTCACTCCAACCAATAAGAATAGCATGATAGGTCACTCACACATCACAACAAAACCCCCTTCTCAGCCCCAACATTTGCTGCGGAATTAATGGACCTAACGTGGGTAGTTCTGCGCCTAAAAAACGGCTAATATACGGCGTGACCGGTTAAATAAGTGACCGGTTAAAATTTATATCGGTTATGTTATATTATTTAACCGGAAATATTATAAAGTACAATAACATACTAGGTAGCGCTTATATAATGTAATAGGTAGTGCTTATATTTACCTATTTTATAAGTAAACCGGTATATTTATACCGATAGTATTGCAAATTTACCTATTACATTATATTATATTGAAAGTGTCCATACTTTTTATAAAAATGATCGATACTTCTTTTAAAGTTATGTAATTTATGTTTCAATTTTTTTAATAGTGTTTCATGTTTTCCACCTACAATATTAATTTAATAATTTCATTTGCACAAAAAATTATTTGATTATTTGATATTTTATAAAATATTATTTAGAATTTTTAATTTAATAATAATATATATCGTAACGTAAAAAATAAATCATTAGACGCCTATAATTACTAAATTAAAATCTTAAAACTCACTCAAAAGATAACCTTAAATTAATGTTTTCCACAGTGAAAAAAGTATGGACAATTTTATAAAAAGGATAGACACTTTACAATATAACCACTACCTATTACATTAAATAAACGATACATATTACATTATATAAGCGCTACCTATTACATCATATTTTTACCTATTATATTTAAAGTGTCCATACTTTTTATAAAAATGATCGATACTTCTTTTAAAGTTATGTAATTTATGTTTCAATTTTTTTTAATAGTGTTTCATGTTTTCCACCTACAATATTAATTTAATAATTTTATTTGCACAAAAAATTATTTGATTATTTGATATTTTATAAAATATTATTTAGAATTTTTAATTTAATAATAATATATATCGTAACGTAAAAAATAAATCATTAGACGCCTATAATTACTAAATTAATATCTTAAAACTCACTCAAAAGATAACCTTAAATTAATGTTTTCCACAGTGAAAAAATTATGGACACTTTTATAAAAAGGATAGACACTTTACAATATAACCACTACCTATTACATTATATAAACGATACCTATTACATTATATAAGCGCTACCTATTACATCATATTTTTACCTATTATATTGAAAGTGTCCATACTTTTTATAAAAAGGATCAATACTTCTTTTAAAGTTATGTAATTTATGTTTCAATTTTTTTAATAGTGTTTCATGTTTTCCACCTACAATATTAATTTAATAATTTCATTTGCACAAAAAATTATTTGATTTTTTGATATTTTATAAAATATTATTTAGAATTTTTAATTTAACAACATTAACCAAAGATAATAATAAATATGTAATATATGTTTATTGTTTTTAATTTAATAATAATATATACAACATCAAACACATTCCAAGCTATAAATTACAAGCTAAGGACACTTGAAGAAGCAAGAGAACAACTATCCAAGCAATCAAAAACGAGAAAATCCCAACATGATAACAACTGAACATATCATATCAATGTTCAAACTCAAGTTGTAGATTTTGATTTCCTTTTGCTTGGCATCATATGAGATTTGAATTTTGATTTCCTTTTGCTTGGCACCATATGAGCTTTGGATTTTGATGAGCATCGGAAGTATTTCAGACTTATGATTTGGGTGGTACTCAGAAGCATTTCGGACTTAGATTTTAGTTGCTATTTGTTTACCACCCAGATCATATGCCCGAAACGTTTCTGACGCTTTAAAGTTGACCAAAAAATACAATGGTCTGGATTTCCCTCGCGTTTAAACGTTAGAAAAAAACAATGGAAATTAGGAATAATCAATGATAACATGCATATTGGCTTGGGCTAATATTTATAGTGGAGCCGAAATATATATTGAAATTCAAACTCAAATTGAAATTTAAATTCAAACTCCAATTACATATGAAATGAATTTGAAATGCAGTGTTAAATTGAACATGAAAATTGCATAATTGATTCATACTGTTCAAGTAACATGCTTTATGAACCATCAAGCTAAAAGACAATATTGATTGAGTTCAAAGCTGAGTTGTGAGTTGATGGAGTTGTCACACTTGTCACATGGTTGGAATAAAGTAATTTGATGTAATAATTTTATTTGCACAAAAAATTATTTGATTGTTTTGATATTTTATAAAATAATATTTAGAATTTTTAATTTAATAATAATATATATCGTAACGTAAAAAATAAATCATTAGACGCCTATAATGCAAAAATTAATATCTTAAAACTCACTCAAAAGATAACCTTAAATTAATGTTTTCCACAGTGAAAAAAGTATGGACACTTTTATAAAAAGGATAGATACTTTACAATATATAAACGATACCTATTACATTATATAAGCGCTACCTATTACATTATATAAACGATACCTATTACATTATATAAGCACTACCTATTACATTATATAAACGATACCTATTACATTATATAAGCGCTACCTATTACATCATATGTTTACCTATTATATTGAAAGTGTCCATACTTTTTATAAAAAGGATCGATACTTTTTTTAAAAGTTATGTAATTTATGTTTCAATTTTTTTAACAGTGTTTCATGTTTTCCACCTACAATATTAATTTAATAATTTCATTTACACAAAAAATTATTTGATTGTTTTGATATTTTATAAAATAATATTTATAATTTAAATTTAACAACATTAACCAAAGATAATAATAAATATGTAATATATATGTTTATTGTTTTTAATTTAATATCTTAAAACTCACTCAAAAGATGTATATACCTAAATATGTAGTTAACAAACATACCTAAATATGTAGTTATTGTACATACCTAAATTTAATGATAATATATACTTGTAGTTATTGTACATACCTAAATATGTACTGCGAATTTAATGTTGTACCCACCCTTTAACTACCACTACCAATGCCACATCATAGTGAAAGTAGCACGACTGAAACATGTTCAAAATGAACCTTTGCTTACATCTCCATCAACTCCTGGAGCACT